TGATCATACAATTGAAGCTCATACCATTTGACAATAATGGGCAAAAAAAATAGTAACATGTGAAGGTGCAAGCCCATAAGTTTGATATAAAAAACATAATAGAAACTGAGGGGATTTTAAAAAATAATCAAGTTGAAATTCTTCCCCTTGTTTCATTTGGCAAAATCAATAGGAGATATGATAAATGAAAGCTCATAACTGAAATGTTCTCCTCAATAATATCAAATAGGATGCCAAATGTGACCAATAAGGATGCCAAAATGATACCAACATGCAATCTACCAAGGATAACAATATGCAATTTAGAAGGTTTAACAATCATAACTCAAACATTATGTAGAATACTAAATATTGCTCATAATAGATTAAACTCAATATAATCTCATGGAGCTAATGTAAATCCAAAAAAGGAAGCATGTTCAAGGTATAGCAATCCGTATGCTAAGAAAAATTATGAGTTTCAATATATAGCACACATTTTAAGCATAGACATGATTTTTAGGCAAGAACATCATCAAAGAGTATACATTGCAAATCATATGAAGCATAATCAATCTTTTTCATATCAAAGTAATAACAATATTAGCTTAAAGGCTATAAGATAGAATTTTTATCTTAAAAGCTTAAGAGAGTATATGAGGCATACGTTAGGTTCAAGAGATGGAAACTTTTCAATCTTCAATTTTCTTTCATGAGGAATTCATCTCAAAAGGGTTTAACAAGTATGTTAGCAAAATGATTTCTCCCCCTAAGTTGGTGCTACCCTTTTCTATTTTGTGTAAATATAGCATTCATAGAACAATCACTATTACTCAATAAAAATACAACACAAATCACTTCTTATCACAAACTAAAAAGGTGAAAAATAATTCAATGGTCAAACAAGAGTTTGGAATGCTATTTTTCAGAATTTTCAAGTTGTAACGTATAGCATAATATGCATAAGAAAATAGTTTTATGCTCTTTGTTTTATTAAGAAATGATGCAACAATCTCATTTAATCACATAGCATTATCAAGAGGCATTTTCATCAATTCAATCCACATTCTCAAGTGTGATAAAACATTTTACTCAATATGGAACACATCATGAATGTTATAAACAATTAATTCAACAATTTATCAATCAAAAGCATTTCATGAGATGTATGCCAATATAATCCATATTCAAAAGAAATTCAATAGGATAGATGCAATGTCTCTACAAACGTATGATACTTTTTTTGATTTAGACATTATTGATGGATCATAATCAAGGAATTTGACAACTCATTCAAATATTCCAATGTAAAGCATATAAGTATGGAATTTTCATATTGAGCATATTCTTGAGATCACAAATGGACAATTCAAAATATAGATAGTATACATCTCAAAAATATGCTATGATATCAAAATTGATTTTACAAAGATATGACTCAAAAAGGAATTAACATATCAGTATGAATTCATATATAAGATGTGAAAAATATGCTCACAAAACATATTTATCACTTCTTATCTTTTTTTCATAGCAATGGATGACATGATATACAATGTTAATGAATACATGAATCATTCATATTCTAATAGGCATTTATCAAAATAATATAATTCTCATTTTTGAGTTTAATGAATGTTTGAAAGAAACTAGCAGAACATGACTTAGCAAATTTAGTACAATTAGGTTATATGGAAGCAATGATTAGACACAACTTATTGTACACAAATCACACCTTAAAGAATATAGAACTTTAAGCTTAAAGGTGTGTTAGGAGTATACCTTTATTTACCTCTTTGGAATCTTCACCCATACATTACCTCTATTGTTTATCTTGGTGATTTTCATTTGGGTCTAGCTTGTCTCAAGTTGAGATCAAGACTGGACCTATCCAGTTCGGCCCATGGGGCCCATTTTTTGGGCCCGTTTTGATAATCCGAACCGTTTAATGTGTAGAACTCGTCGAGTACTACATGGCTGTAAAAAATCACGTTGATCGGCTATCAATAGCTATGTGATCAAATTAGTTTTGTATAAAAAAATGGACGGTGAAACAATTAACGGTTGATAAAAAACTATTTTGTTCATATAGCTATCGATATCCGATCAACGCGATTTTTTACAGGCATATAGTACTCGACGATTTCTACACATTGAACGGTTCGAATTATCAAAACGGGACCCGTGGTGGGGCCCAACGGGCCCAACAGCATGGTCCAGTTCGATCTTGGACTGGACCAAAGCCACCGCCTTTTCATTTCATCATTTTTCTTCTTGTAGGAGCTGATTTTGCTCTTTAGATTGAACACTCTTATTGTGCATTTCCTCTCGAAGTCCTTGGTATTCTTTGAGATTCCACTTACAAAATATCTTAATTTCTTTCTTGGTACCCATACTTTCTTGGGTCCATAGGGATTATTCTCATGAATATTTAATCTCATAAAAGGTTTAAGAGAATCAAAACTAAGGCCTACTTTGTCAAAAATACATTTTTTATTTTCAAGAAGCTTGTTGAGATTTTCTTTTCTTTTTACAAAATTTTCAAGAGTTTTGTTTAAATCCTCAACATTGCTTTTTAAAATGTTTTTATCATTGGCAATAAACGTAAAGTCATTTTTCAAAGTAGCATTTTTCATTTTTAAAACATCCACATCATTTGAAAGAGAAGTAACTATTTTTTTTTAATTTAGAATTCTCAACACAAATATTTCTAAATATGTCATGTAATTTATTGAAAGCACTTTCAAGTTCTACATAATTAGAAATTACCTCGTCTTGAGTGAATTTTTTTTCTCCAAGAGCTATGAGACACAAGTTGGCTACTCCATCATTTTCTCCCCAAATGGCTTTCTTTTTGCTGCCATCCACCATTGAAAGTTCATGAGCCATGAGTGAGCTTAGGAGTTCTTCAATGTCCAATTTTGTTAGGTCTTTTGCTTCTTGGATAGCTATAATCTTAGCTTCCCATTCATTTGGCAAAGACCTAAGTATTTTTCTCACAAGCTCACCATTAGTATAAGATTTACCAAGAGATTTTAGAGCATTAATAATATTGATAAATTTATAAAACATCTCAGAAATAGATCCAAATAATTCCATAGTAAGAGTTCATAATCATGAATAAGCATGTCAATCCGAGACTCTTTTATTTGGCTAGTTCCTTCATAGGTGATTTCAAGTTTATCCCAAATCTCTTTAGCAGTAATACATCCAGAAATTCTATTGTACTCATTTGCTTCTAGTCCACACACAAGAATAAGCTTGGCTTTAGCATTAGCTTGAAGGAGTTTATAATCACGCTCATCAAATTCATCCTCAAGTTTAGGCACACTAATATGGTCTACTACCTTGGAAGGGATTTTAGGACCTTTAGTGATAATGAGCCACAAGGCATAATTGGTAGCTTGAAGATACAAAGCCATTTTTTCTTTCCAATGAATGTAATTACTGCTATCAAAGAGAGGTGGCCTATTGCTAGCTTGTCTTACAGTAGAATAAGTAGAATATATGGTTGTTATGGATCAAAAACTCAAGATTGTTAAATCTAAACAAGAGCCCCAGGCTCTGATACCAATTGTTACCCAAAAAGCAACCTAAGAGGGGGTGAATTAGGTTTCTACAAATTAAAATTAATAATACCCCAATAAAATTAACTACTAGTACAACAAATTACTAACAAGTACAATGATGAACTTAGCAGTAAATGATCAAGCAAAATAACAATAAGGTACAACTAACATACAGGGTAAATCAAATGATTAACACATGAATATTAGATAGCTATAGCAGTAGTAGGAAAGTAAAGAGATTAGGAAAGATGAGACAAACAGATTTATAGTGGTTCGGCTTCAACCAAGCTTACATCCACTCCTAAAGCTTCACTTGAGATTTTTCACTATCTTCTAGCTTCACAGGGGTGCTAGCAACCTCTTTACAAATAGAGCAATCCTCCACGGATTTTACACAGATTTCATAAGCCCAAACCCTTGTAAATCTTAAGTGATTCACAATCACTCTCAAGATTTCAAGAACACAGTGTTTGCAACACTTTTACAAGATGAAATGGTATTTTTGCTTTCAAAGAAAGCTTATAATAAATATCTCTCAAAGATAGATATATAAAATGAAACTTTGATTTTTCTGTAAATCTCATATAGGAAAGATGAGCTTAATGCTATAAGGCTCAGTGTATAATTTCTGAGAATAGATGTGAGTGATTATAGGTCAAAGAACATTTTCAAGTTTTTTGTAACTTGTTTACATTAGAGGCTTTGGTATATATAATGAAAATTATAGCCGTTTATAGCCGTTGTATTCATTTGAATTTATAGCCGTTTATAGCCGTTGTAGTTATTTGAATTTATAGACGTTTATAGCCGTTGTACTTCCATCATTACTAATTTGAATATCTTCCACTTGAACCTTTTGGCCTGCTGCTGTACTAGCTGTTTGAACTCCTGATTTAATCAAATATTAAATACATTCTAACAACAATTAGGATAAATGTTTAGGTGAGAAATAATGGGACAAAACAAATTTTGATTCTATTTTTTTCTTTCAAATAAATCATCAAAATAAATTTTGATTAAAATATAATTAAATAAATCATCAAAATAAATTTTGGATTCTATTTTTCTCTTTCAAATAAATTAAAACATAATTAAATAAATCATCAAAATAAGTAAGTCTAACAGCATGCAAAGTGGTAAACTCATATGAATTTTATAAAATTTTATATTCCACAGTTATCTCAATAGTTTAAATGGATTTTAATGTGTACTATTTTGGCATTGTTTTTATATATTTTTTAAGGATGACACTTTTGACAAGTAAATTTTAGATTTTCTACTTTTAATGTGTACTGTGACAAATTTTGACTTTATGTGTACTCCTATTTAAACTTTATGTTCCTAAATAACTTTTTCAAATATGCCATGTTCCTAAAGTAATTTTGCTGTTTTAATCTTCTTCCTTATTCATGCTAAATACTTTACCATTGTTGGTTGGATATGAATCTATAGGAATTGGATGAGATGAATAAGCTTTTGAAAGAGTCTGGGGTTGTTCATTAATAGAAGGAAACAAACCAGTGGCACCCTTAAACTCTCCAATCAAGGTAATCTCTTCAAACTTCCATGTTATATGATTTATCTTTTATTTTTTATTTTTTATAGAGAAAAGATTCAGCCATTTAAGCTATTTATATGAGAGTGCTTTTAGGCATGAATGATATGCTAGCAATTCATATTAAACTTTTTTTTTTCTCCAAACAACAGTCCTTTAATCCGTTTGATTTGATTTGATTTTTTTATTTATTTCATATATTGCTACTAAAACGATTATTGAACCACTTTAAAGTCGTTTTACTTTAGTTATTTTTTAATGCAACAATTTCAATTTTAAAGTTGTCGTAGTTGATGTAATTAATGACTTTCAAATTAATCATCTGTGTAATTACTCTTATTTAAAGTACTTTTTCATTTACATGATTAGTTTAGTCACATTAGGGCATTATATGAATACAATGATTTTGTAAATTCAACCATTTAAACAATTTCAACGAATAGGCTCTTAACAGAATTATAGAATTTATGAGTTAATTTGTTTTACAACTATAAAAGCTGAGTTCGAGTTTTTATTTACTAAAATTTCAAATTCATATTCAAGTGCATGGCTTTAATCCGTTTGATTTCATTAGGATTTGAATTTTTTCAGTTAATTGATTTTGAAATTAATGACTTAATTGGTTTGAATTTGTAATATCATACTGTTCAAGCTTTCATTAATCTCATTAGCAAGTCCTTTTATTTTTTTAGAATTCTCTAATTGGTTGTTGAGAATTTCATTGTTCTAGGTTAGTTTAATTGAGTCATTTAGAATCTTTGAAATTTTAAGCAATTTGTTAAGCTTTATATATTTCAAACCTTCTATCTTTAAAGTTTCGTCTTAAGTATTTTGATTTTAATCTAAACACTTATATTAAATGATTTGGTAATTGTTTTGGAATGTAGGAGAGCTTAGATATCATTAGTTTTACAGTTATTTTTGCCCTTTTGCTAATGAAGAAACTTATCTTCATTTGTCATTTTCATGTGTATAGAACTATGCACTTCGTTTTCATGTGTAAATTTAAAACTTTGTCATGGGTATATGTGAAAGTAATTTGTGAATATCCTAATACACTTTTTAAATATTTGTTTTGATAGTTAAAAGAAGTTTCTTTACCCATAAAGCGTCTTTTGACTATGTGTAGTAGTGTAAGCACATGCATTACACGTCAATAAATTTATATTAGTGCAAATCTAGGAGTTTGAGGATAGAATTTATACTATTTTTGGTTTTATCATCGCCAAATTTTGAAAATGATTGACATTGATTGACATTGTATAAAGTTAAGGATTATTTAGAGGCTGATTGACGTTGTGTAAACTTATATACATTTGGTTTGGTTTGGTTTGGTTTGAGATGTAGACATTTGGAAGTGTCTACTATTTGGATTTTGATCAAGAACACCATTTTCGTATTGGCATGGGGTGCTCCAAAAGGAGAGCACTATTTTGTTATACCTCTTATTTTGAAGTTGTATTTATAATAAAGGGGATCCTCTTGCTCAAATGCATGCTATCTATTCATTTTGTGTGTCATGGGTAAACAGAATTTTAGGTATATTTGATTGTCAATGTTCCTAGTTTAAGAGATAATGATAAATGAAAATTATTTAAAAAAACATTATTTACACCGTGCTTTCAGGCAGCACGGGCATACATTAGTTTATTAAAATTGCAGAGCGCTTGCTGGTGTGTTTTATTTGGTGTCCAGTAATTTTTATTATTATTATTGAATGTTAGCAAGTGTACAATAGCTTTGATTTGTATATTTTGTTTAATGTTAATAATTTTTTTTTGGCTTGCTCTTATATTTTCAACATTTTAAATCTTATATGTTTGTTTCTTAATTTGCATTATTTTATTTAAGTTCTGTAGAGCGTATGATACAAGTAAAATTATTACAAGTTCTTTAAGAAAAATAGTATTTCTTTATATTTTTTTAATATTTTTATCAAAAAATACTACAGATTCCATAAATTTTAACATGATACGTATAAATTATAATTATATTTTAATCACAATATTATTTACACCGTGCCTTTAGGTACGGGTATACGCTAGTTATTTAATATATAAATAATGTATTTATATTATTATTTATATATATTTTTATATTATTTAATATATAAATAATATATTTATTATATAATTTAAAATTTAAATATAAGATAAACAAGCCGAGTTTATGCAAGCTTGAGCTCGGCCGTTTACTAAACGAGCCTAAATAGTCCGAGCTTGAGCTCAGGCTCGTTTATTAAACGAAGCCGAGCGCTAACAACCCTCGTTTACTAAATGAGCCTAATTATTGAGCTCGAGCTCAGCTCGTTACTTAAACGAGCGAGCCTTTAACCGAGCCGAGCTAAAGCTTGTTTATGAACAACTTAATTCATTTGCAGCCCTACCTATATAGTGTTGGTTTGGGCGCGAATCAAGTTTGTTTGTTTGTTTGTTTTGGGGTTAAAATAGTTTAAAAAAATAAAATAAATTAAAAATTAATAAAATAAAATATCATATTTAATTTATAAATTATTTTTAATCAAAAATTAAAAAACTTATTCCAAAATAATTTTTTAACCCTCAAACTAAGAAAAAACAAAACCAACCCAAAAACCAAGCCTAACTAACCTCACTCCCACCCAAAAAGACTTGTTATAGCGATCGCTTGCAACTCATAAAACCCTAATACATCAATTTGATTCTCTTCTTCTTCGACTCGAATAGCAATTAACCTACTCAAGAAAATCCGAATACATGCAGGTAAATCTGTTTTCTCCATCTTTGTACTACTCTCTCGAATTCATGTTTTTGATGGTTTATGCTACCTTTAAACAATACAAAACAATTATGTATATATATATATATATATATAATATCTGTTTGATATGTAACATGTATTTTGGTGATATCGTTAGTTAGAGCTTGTTGAATTTTCTGATTAATTTTCGTTGTGCATTATAATTTATATTGGGCATCTATTCTGGTATTTGAGTATCAATTGTGTTGAAGTTTGAAATATAGCTCGTATTGTTCCATTCTAGATTTCGCTTGAAAAATTCTATTGGTGTGAGCCCTACCCTTCCTTTTAACTTCCAATTAGCAACTAGAGTTTCTAGTGAGTTTCTTTTTAGATCGGCCACAAAAAGAGAATATATTGATGTAAAATAAAGAGTATAACAGAGGTGCATCGCATTACATCAATAAAAAAAGTTAAAAGAGCCAAGCAGAGCTGCAAACAAAGTGGGAAAAAATCATAGCCTAAACCAGTTTGCACAAAAGCAACACCTAGTCCAAGACAAAAAAGAAAAAAAAGGTTGGAAGAAATCAACCAATCACTGAAGAAAACAACGCCAAAAGGTCTTGGAGTGAAAAGTGAACACACAACAAAAAATTCAATAAAATTTGTGCTATTTCCAAGTTTTACAAACTGATAACCTAATTTAGTTCAAACTACTTCATCCGGCTTAGCACACAATCTGCTTTCCCCGAAATTTTCAACATAAGGGCTTTGTCCATTTTGAAAGAAGCTTTTTTTGATGTTGTCATGTTTGTCCACTTGAATTTCATTAATTATCCAACAATAACACTAGTACAGGAATTCGGGAGTATTTTGCAGGTAAAAATTCCGGTGGTATGGGGTAATTTTGTTAGTTTGAAGATACTGGCCTTGTTTGGTTTGTATTTCAGAAAATTTTTTGAGAGAAAACAAGTACCAAAACACGTTTGGCAAACAAATTTTTGAAATATTCTCTAAAGACTCATCTCAGAGAAATTCCTTTCTCTCTCTAAAACTTCTCTGAAGACGCATCTTCTGTCATAACTTCTCTCTCTCAAAAGAACCTTTGTGACCTCATCTCTGTGACACAAGAAAAATCATTCAAGGCAGTCCAACCGGCTCTCTATCGGCTGTTGTAAACGAAGACGATTCATACCTGTATGCCAAGATCTGCACTCGCCCAAGTGCCTTCGAAGAGACCCACTTGCCTTCCCTCCATCAATACGCTGTTCAAGATTTGAGAATCTTCCGCATTAGATGCACCGACACTATCTATCACCTCCTTCATCTCTGTGTCGCATAGGCTGAGGCAATAGGGGGCATCTGCTCGTACGGGGTCCTCTTTGAACAGCCACAACTTCTCTGCCCTCTACAGATTTCCCCCAAATCGTGCCCTAGCTTTGTCTATAGTCAAAATGAATTAAATCTCTACACAATCGGGACTTGTAAAACATCAATGTCCATCATTTTTCGATTCTTGGCTCTTATAAATGCAAACCAACAGCTTCGAACCTTACCTAGACAGATAATATATTCATTGCTGCAAAAACGGAGAGGCCGGCTCAAAACTTCGTTGTGGACGGTGGGATTTGAGGGCCACCAAACAAGCAGGCAAACAGAGGTATTTCTAATGCACAAATATCTTTTTTTTTTTTTTTTTTAAATTTCAATTGGGTTTGTGAGTTTTGAACATGTATTGACTGATTTTGGTTTACAAAGGTCGCATGGCTTTTGCCTTTGGGTTGTCAGTTTGTTGGTGAATTTCAAATCGGTAAATTTTTGAAATCGTAGTCCATAGAGTCCACTCCCAAAGTCACTTAAAACAAATTACACAGGTTTAAAATATCCTTCAAAGGGTGAAAATATAATGTACCCTACATGTATTAATTATAGGCCGATGCAGCCAATTAACTTTTTCAAAATATTAATTGGCCTTTCAATTTTAACTCTGTGATTCCTTTTGTTTGCATGAGAACTATTCTAGGCTCAAATTTTCCAGAATCTTTCAACTTGGCCATCGCTTAATATACTATTAAGCCCTGTGTTATTAGAAAAATTCCACCATTGGATACATGTGTCTAATGAGAGAGATCATCCACATTCCTAAATTTATACATTGTCTGATGAGAGAATTCTTAATTTTGAGCCGGCAATATTTCATAAATATATAATTGTGGGTCATACAACACATAAATTTATTTTCTGTAAAACTCAAAAAGGACAACAGCAGGGGGGAACCTTGTAAATTTTATTTTTTGTAAAACTCAAATATTTGATATTAGCATTTCAATATAAACTAGCTAATACTATGTGCAATGAATCCATTAACA